GCTATACTACTTTACTAACTCAGAATTTATACCATGCAGATCCTCTGCCCATAGATCCTATTAAGATTTATTCATGTAATATTACATTTCGCCAAATACCTCATCATACTTCCAATATTCAGATGATATTAGTGCAATATGATTTACAGAGTTACAATTCCAGAAACAGACAAGGTTTACTGTAAGTTAGATACAAAGGTCTGAGTAATTATTCAAATTCATCGACAGTGGGATTTGAACCCCAGACCTCTTGCATAGCAGTCTGGTAACCTAACCACTATACTAAGATCGCCAGACCTATTATTATTGCTATTATTATGTTAATAAATTATATTTTATTGGATTTTTTTAGGTTGTTAGGTACATGCAATTAATCTTTAGATAAAAGATATTATTGGTTTAGCTTGGGCATTTAAAACTATATAAACAATGAAAAATATTATTAACTATTTTTGAAATTATCAAATAATTTTAGCTACTTTACATTGTCTTCAAAATAAAGTTTATAATAAATATATATCTTTATTACTTCCAAGTGAAACTTAGTAGAGATTAGTATTTTATATAGTAGAGAATCTTTTAAAAACTAAAACTACTATTTAGAGGTTAACATTAGAAGACAATATTAAAATATCTGATGAAATTAAAAATAAAATTTTATCAGATATTTTTTAGCACAATCTTAAAGTTCTTTATGATTTTCTTTCACTATTTGCTATTTTTTTAAAAAAATTACAAAATAATTAACCTACACATTTAATCACTTATTCTGAATTATATAAGTTAAAAATTTCTATTTCTGAAAATATAGAAGTTTCAGAAAATTTTAAAACATATTCAATTAATAAGAATACAGATCATTAGAAAAACTTTCTTTATAATCTAGCAATAAATTTAGTATATAAACTTGATCCTTGATATCAAGACAAAACTTTAAATCTAAAAAAATAGGATTCAGTTATTGAAGATGAATTAATACAACTAGTCTCAAGTAAAGATCAAGAAAATGTACTAAACAAATATACAAAGTATATTTCTAAACAAGACCATTTTGCATGACAATATTTGTAGAACTTTAATATTATACAAAATCTAATTAATTAGTAGAATTTAGTAAAAAGTAGATATTCTGTACTACGTGAAGTTGCATTACGCATATTATTAATACTAGCTACATTAGCTACAAGTAAAATAAATTGGTCTATCTTTGGCTTTATATACAATAATCTATATAACAAACTTGATGATTCAAAAATTAAAAAATATATTTATATTTATTAGAATTTAAAAATTTTAAGAAATTTAGGTCGAGTAGATGAGCTAAATAAAATTACAGATTCAGTTGAAAATTTAACAATAGATAATAATAGTGAAGAAAATAATTTAGATGATAATAGATTTGATGATTTATTTTCTGATAATGAGTTAATTACATATAACAAAAATAGTTATATAGATATTAGTAGTGATTTTCAAAATTTAAGTGAATAAAAAAATCTTTCATATTCTTACTCTTAATTATTCTATAGTTTTTTTATATCAGAAGTTTGTTTTACCTACTTGATGTGTTCACTTGAAACTTCTTTTAAATTAGATAAATATTTACTTTTGAATTAATAGTAATAACAATAAATTCTATTTAAAAGTTTGTAAAGTTGTGTTATTCTTTTTTTTAAAAAAAGATTTATGTTAGACTTTAGAAAAGAGTTAATGAACTAGAAATAGAGAAAGATGAATTGCGAGAAAAACTAAGAAAAATACAAATAAGAAACAGAAAAATAATTAGAAATATCCTATTGATTGGTTTTACTAATAATGGTAAATCAGCTTTAGCTAACATAATATATGAAAAAAATAAATTCAAAGAAGGAGAGTTAGAAGTTAGCAAAACAAAATCATGCAAGAAGAGGAAATAGAAATAGATAGAATAATTTATCAAGTGATCGATACTATCAGAATTGAAGACAACTAATTAATTATCTTTGCAGCAGATACTAAACATAATAGCTAATGCAATTTATTCAGTAACTTAGAATAATTAGTAGATTTTTCATATTAAAAATATAAGATAAAAGGGGGTATTATGGACAGGTTAAAGTTTCTACTAATAAAACTTTTTATTAAATATATAAACTCTTATATAAAAATTATTATTCAAACTATTGCTCAATATAGAATTAAATAACAAAAAAAAGATCTTTATACAATAAACATTTTGAGACAAATGATTGATACACAAAAGTGTATATAAAATCTGAATTTTAGAGGAAGGGAGAGTATTGTGGACAAATTTAAAAAAAATTTTTTTTTATTGAGCTAAGTAGATAAAAAAATTTCTAAATAAGATCTTTGTATTAATCATATACACTATGAGTCCCTAATGCTAACGCTAAGCTAATATCAATATTAAAATAAATACAGTATTACTATAAATGTGTAATATCTTAACACCTCTAATAATTAGTGATTAATAAAAAGGCCAGTACGTAGAGACTTTTCACCCCTCCTGAGGTATTTAATTTTTTTTTTTTTTAAACAAGGTCTTTCCTCTAGCT